GATTCTTATCCTTATATTCTGAATCAGGAGCTGTGAAGTAGGTTCTGAAAGCTTTAAAGGTGATTCTGACAAAAGCGATCCGAAGACTGAGAAACACTGATCTTGTTCATTGATAAAAACACTAAATAGCATCAGATTCAATTCACACTTGCCAGGAGTACTATCAGTGATACCTTCTCAGATTGAAAATAATTCATGGTGGTTTCCTTAAAAAGTTATACAACCTTCAAAACGATAAGGCTGGTGGAAAAATGGAAATTTTTGCTGGAGGTTGGGAGTGGAAATGGCAAAGGGAGATAGATAGATAGATAGATAGATAGATAACAAAAATGGAGACAGAGATATCTAATTATATAATTTAGTACTAAATTTTTGGCACCTAAATTGACTGCTTGTTTCTTAGTGCCTAAACCAATGTCTATAATCTGGTAGGCACAAATCCATGTAAGAATGCTACATATTATAATAATCAATTATGAAAACAAAATCTAGGTTTTCAAATTACTTTATTACAATTTTTAAAAAAAAATTTAAGAACCAATGAGAATATAAGGCATAAAATGTGAAGAAACAAGAGGCAAAGTTTTATAATTTTATTTCATTTTATTTTTTTATTATTTCAGGTTAATTGTGGGCACAAAGAATTAGGTGACATTGTTGGTAATTTGTCAGGTAAAGTCCTTCTTATATTGGTGTCCCACCCGCAGGAGGTGTGCCATCTACCCTAACATGGTGTCCATTAAGTGGGAGCACACCCATCCACCTCCCCTCTCCCCACACCCTTGTTCCCTGCCCCTCACCTTGGATTGATTTTTGAAAGGCTTTTAAAATACATGCCATTCTCTTAGTATATTAAGAAATAAAAACACTGTAAGTTGAAGAAAGCCTTATGTGATTCCTCTGTAAGATGTCATCCCATAGACATGAAAATAATGTCCTTATTACTAAAAGAAATAAATTCCTGGAATATGCTTGAGAAAATTAAATTTCAAGCTGGATCAAATTGTTGAAAAAAAGAAGTTTTAAGTTAGTTTGTGCTCTCAATGCATTTTTGGGTCAAAATCTGATGTCACCCCTCAATGTGACCATTTCTAAGGGCTGAAAATGTTGTGTTCCCCCTTTACCTCATGAAATTTTAAAAGTGTGTAAGAGCAGAAATCTTATGAAGAATGCCTATTGCTTAGGAATGTGGGGTCACTGAGGATAGAAATTTCATTTTATTTAAAAGAAATCTGATCTGATGCCAGCTGTTGTTCAGCAATTAGTTTATGAAGTACATAATTGATAATCCAAAATGTTTACCCACTAGTACAACTCTGCAGATATTGGTAGAATAAATATAAACATCCTTCTACCTCCAGAAAGAAGAGTCTGCATGATAGAAATTTCCTGGCAGAAACACATGATATATATGGCCGATTTCTACATTTTGACTGTGCTGTGTGTATTGTAAATGAATGTATTTTGTTCCAGTCTCTATTTCTTTGACCTTTTAGCATCTTAATAAAACTCCCAAAGCAGCAATCAAAAGCACAGTGTTCCATTTTGGAAGTGTTCAGAAGGCAATGCACTCTGGCTAAATTTAGTCATAGCATTCAGAATTTAAAAACACAACCTTCCATTTTTCTATGGGGCACACTGTCGCTTTTGAGTTAAACAAATTGGTCAGATAATAGTTGTTTCCTCTTAGCTCACTCAAGTAAAAAAGGGGTGGGGCAGAAATAAAAATTGACTCATAGAGTAATTGTTCACAGTGGCCACTCCAGTGTACTCATTCTGTAGGACATCAGAGAGTGGAAACTTTTACATTCATTTAAAGCAATTCTGGCTCACCAAACAAATTCCAGTTAAATCAAAGCAATAAAATTACAAACTGAAAACATTGATAACTTCTCATGCTGAAGAAATGCCATCTTTTTGATCAAGATTTTCACATTGCACAATCTGCAGAAAGATAATTGAATATTAAGAAAAAAAGAGCATGGGTCTTAAAAGCAGTATATCACTTCCTAAGCCATAAAATGGGAAATGTATATCTTTAAGAATTCAAAAGCTTATTCACTTTAAACAATATTCCTGATTTTAAAGCAGATGTTGGTTATGATACTTAGTCAGAAATCTTTTTTCTGCACGACATAATCCAAAAGAGCAGCAGTTTGGTTCCACAGAGTTAAATTGAGAGAATGTGTAAAATTCCAGATGAGAGAGAGAGACCAGATGAAATTTGGAAGTCTGAGCATAACCCAAGCATACTCTAGTTTTTTTCCTACTGGAAAGCTATCTTTAAAGAGCAGTTATCTTTTTAAATTTTTTTTTAAATTATAGTAAGAATAACTTAACTTGCAGTCTATATTCTTAACAAATGTTTAATTGTAAGCGATCGTTGACTACAGGCGCAATGTTGCACAGCAGAAGTCTAGAGCTCCTCACCTCCACAACTGAAACTCTACCCCCATTGATTACTCCCCTTTTCCTCCTTTGCCCAGCCTCTGGCCATTGCTATTCCACTTTTTGATTCTATGAATGTGACTATTTTAGATACTTCATATAAATGGAATGATGATATATTTGTCTTTCTGTGACTGGCTTATTTCACTTAGCATCCGTGTCCTCAAGTTTCTCCCTGTTGTCGTATCTTGTAGAATTTCTTTCTTTTTCAGAGCTGAATAGTCCTCTACTATGCATATATAATCATTTTCTTTCTTCGTTCATCCCACTGATGGGCACTTAGATTGATTCCATATATTGGCTATTGCGACCATGTTTCAAAAAAATGCAAATTAATCAATAAAAATAAATAAATAAGCAGCTGTTGTAGATGGCAGTAAACAGAACAATAAATGAAGAGAAAAGCTGAGCTGGTGCCTTAGACGGTCAGGTTGTCTGCTGACCTTGGTGCTGAGATAAGGTGTAAGGAAGGGAATAAAAGGAAAGGGTTTGGGGAAGTTGTGCCTTGTGCCTGGCCACCTGACCTGTGTACCCAACTGTACCCATGGGGCAGTGTATGTGGTTGGTCAGACTTACTGGGGGAAGAGGCTCTGGAAAGAGAAGAGGAGGAGTGTGGGAAGGAAGGGAGCCTAAGAACATGAACAGGTCGGTGTCTTTATTACCTGTGGGTTGACTGAGATAAGATTGAAGCCATTTCCCAATTTCTTCTGGCAGTCCCACCACTAACATGAAATATGTTTCCCTTCACCTATACAGAAAAATCTCTACTTGATTATGTCTAAGTTTAAAATTCCAACTATCTCTACTCTTAGAAATTAGGAAAAGTTGACCGTGATTATTTATTAGTGAAATAAGTGGAGGAGCCAAAATCTACCTGGGTCAAGTGTCCCCCCAAACCATGCTCTTTCCACCGAACTTCAGCAGGGATCTTACCTCTTAAAAATAACAGCCTTTGGGGTACTAAGTAGGAAAGCCTACGAAACAAAGATTAGAAAAAAAAAAGCAGAAACCTCATCAATGGCTTCCAAATATTTCAGGGTTGCCTGAATTATGTAGTGTATTATAATAAAGTTTCATTCAGACAAATACTGGAAACAAGTGTATTTCTTAGTGCATAAAAGTGTTAGAATCAGAGCAAGCATGCAGGCATATGTGTATACAGGTGTGAGAGATAAAATTGAGTTCTCTAGGGTACCTTCTGGCACAGAAGTTTAAGAAATGATGCAAGTTTGAGATGATGAGTAAATTCCAATCACCCTGATCTAATCACTATGCATTATATGTATTGAAACAATACAAGGTACCCTATAGGCACGTACAATTATAAGTCAATTCAAAAATGGTTTTATAAATTAATAAAAGATGTTCTAATTCAAAGACAATATTTCAGAAGTCACCAAATTACAAGCATAAGTATAAAGAAATTGCCCCAAAAGACACTGACAAATCTTCTCTCATACACCCAAACTCATAAATCTGTTACCATGGGCTGGCGGTAGGGGTGGGCAGGAGGTATTAGTTAAGGTGCACAAAGTTTTAGGTATACATAATGAGTAAGTCTTAGAGACCTAGTGTATAGCATAGTGCCTGTAGCTAACAATACTGTATTGTATACTTAAAAGTTTGCTAAGAAGATTGATCATATGTTAAATGTTCTTGTCACAAATAATTATTATAATAAGAAGAAGGTAGGAGGAAGCTTTTGGGGATGACGGATGGATTTATGGCACAATAGTGATGATAGTTTCACTCATCAAATTTTGTACATTAAATCTGTACAGGTTTTTGTATTTCAGCCAATAAAGTGCCTCTAAAAACAAAACAACACATACAAACACACAAACACTTAGAAGTAATTGTGAGAGCACAACTCCAAACCTTGATGAGGTACGTGTCATTGTTTGGCTGGTGCAAGAAAATAGAATATTTTAATAAAAGTGGGATAAGTTTGGGAAGAGTGCATAAGGCCATAAATTTTAAAAATTTGGGCAAGTGTGGCCAGCTCTCTCTTTAAAAGAGACGCAATAGAGGTTAAGAGCAAGGGCTTTGGAATCAGGCCAACCTCTCTCACCTACCACTTATTAGATTATGAGACCTTGAGCAATCAAGGTCTCTGTTTTATTTTCTTTTAAATGATAATAAGAGAATTACCTTGAGTTCTTGTTGGATTAAGCTGGGAAATGTACATAAATGATATAGTATAGTGTCTGGCACGCAGTGAGAACTCCATCTGAGTTTGAATTAGTTTTCAGTTGCTTCATTTTCAAACAGAAAGGTTTAAAAATAAGTAGCAGTGCTCGTTTGGGATCAGATAATCTCCTTCCTATATTTGGTATGTGGGTGATAGTCCCTCTCCGTGCCTCAATGTTTTGCTTTGGAGCCTTATAGAAGTGATCTAAGCTTTTATTTTGATAATAATGATTAAGTGGTTCTTACTTGTCTTTATTCTTATTTTAATAATAATAATCAAATTGTTCTTACTTGTCTTTCAGGGTCAGAGTCTATTTTTCTTCCTTTTTATGTAAATAAATATTTTCTTAAGAGGCCCATTAGTGCTCACTTCAGCAGCACATGTACTAAAATGGAGATGAAGCAGGGATTAGGATGGCTCCTACATAAGGATGACACACAAATTTGGGAAGCTTTCCATACTTCCCTGAAAAAGTATGGATATGGATGGTGGTGACAGTTGTACCACATGGTGCATGCCTTTAATACCACTGGATGTGTACTTAAAAATCGGTAAGATGGCACATCTTGGTATATGTATTTTACTATAATAAAAAATTGGAAAAATGTTGAAAATTCTTTCATAAAGAGGATGTTGGGCTCTTAAAATACTGGTCTTTTGTCAACAGTTTTATGTATTTAAATTAAAATATTTAATATATATTTTATTTAAATAAAATATAATTATAGAAGGGCTAAAATTCTATTCCATAGTTACTCGCAAAGCCAGAGGCTAACAGCACATTAAAATTCTTAATATTACAATCTAAAGAGACTGAATAGAGAAAGGTGTTTTTGTCTATTTATTTACACTATTACATAATAACTCATAAGAATAACTATTTGTAGACTCACTTGTAAGTGAATTTCCCTCTATTTGTTTTGTACTTAGAGAGATACATGCTGAACAAGAGATCATAATAGGATAATTGTGTTTCAGGTTGATGCTCAAAGAGCAATTTAAAGCATTTTAAATGTTCTTATGTTCCTTATTTTTTTTCACATAATTATATATAAATCATTTCTAAATACTAAAATTACTAGTTTAAACAACTTGCAAGTGAGCATAAAACATTAAAACAAATTTCCACCAAGTCAGAGTTCACACATGCTATTGCAGTTTTCTTTCTTCCATGATTTCTCCTTTCATCAAGCCACAAGTAGGGCATGGTGGGATGCTTCTGAAAAAAAAAATAGTAAAATTGTTTTCTATTTTTTACTTCCAATGTGAAGATAACAGTCACACATTTTCAATATCAAATTGACTTTAGGCTGCATCGATATTCTTAATCTGCACCTTCCTTCCTGTTACAATGGATGAATTTCCCATTCATACTCCCTGCCCCATTGCTCTGCTTCCCATTATAGCTAAAACTAGTTGAAATAGCTATCTGAGCTTCCTCACCTCCACCTTCTGCTCAGTACACCTTAGCCAGTTTGTTAGCACCGCCATCTTGCCCTGGCCAGTGGCCAGTTCTCAGGCCTCAGTTGAACCCACTAGCAGCCTTCAACAGTTTCCATTCCCTCATTCTTTTGATTTTGTTTTAACACTCAATCCTCCTAATTTTACTCCTTCTTAACCAGACTTTCTTTCTCTGTCTCCTTAGCTGGCTCCTCTTCTTTCTAACCTTAAAATGCTATAGTGCCCCAAGACTAAGTCCAGGGTTCCGTTTTCTTCTGTATGAACACATTGTTGTAGGAGGCCTCCTCTAGTCTCGTCATGTAAATACTGTCTATCTGCCACGGACCACCAAACACAGACCTGCAGCCCTGACCTCTCCTCTGAACCTCAGGCTCATGTATCCATTGACACACACGTCCTCTTCACTGGGTGTCTACGGGCATCTGCCCAAAGCCAGAGCCTTGATCACTCTCCAGATCCTGCTGCTTCCATTCTTTATTTGATTTAGTTGTAAGGTCCCCAAATTCAGAAGCTATCCTTTTTTTTTTTTTTTTTTTGAGACAGAGCTATCCCCAGCTATCCCCCTGGGTAGAGTGCTGTGGCGTTACAGCTCACAACAACCTCCGACTCCTGGGCTCAAGCGAGTCCCTTGCCTTAGCCCCACAAGTAGCTGAGACCACAGATGCCCGCCACAATGCCTGGCTATTTGTTGGTTGCAGCCATCATTGTTGTTTTTTTTTGGTGGGCCCGGGCTGGATTCGAACCCGCCACCTTAGGTGTATGTGGCTGGCGCCTTAGCTACTTGAGCCACTGGTGCTGAGCCACCCAGAAGCTATCCTTGAAGCTCACCTACAGTAAGTCTATCAGTAAATCTATCAGCAAATGAGAACAGAAGAGAGAAAGGGGAAACAGAGACAGGAGTTTTGATCTAAACATGCGCAACAGAAATTTTCAGGGAAACTCAAACTACTTGTTTCAGTGGATAAGGAGGACAATTTGGGAGGATAACTCCCCCAGTACCTCTCACTTTGTTTAATTCAGCGATAGTCTGTTAAACATATGCAAATTCAGCCCAGTTAAATCACAGTAAAATTCAGGCCAGTCCAATCAATTAGCTTTCAATATTCTACAAAAAGTAATTTGGCCAAGACACAAAGAGGTTTTGTGAGTCCCTGAAGCACTGACCTTTTTCCTTTCACTTGAACTGTTCTAAGGAGTATGAAGGGAAAAAAATTAAATCAGTCACTAGATTCAGTTATCGATAACTAGAAGTTACTTCTGAGAAAATAAAACTGAGAATACAATTCTGTTAATATAACTTTATGGCAACTGAGAGAAAATAAGAAGAGAATGAAGCTAATATATACCGGATACTTATTACGCATCAGATAACCAGGCTATCTTATGGTACATGCTGCTTTATGTTTATCTGGTCCCATACCTGGCCTGCTGACAGGCCTCTGTGCTGTACCTCTGAGGTTGGCCCAGGCCAAATCTCAAGTTTTCACTTTGTCTACAAGTGTACTACTCTGCCTTTGTTCTTTCAAGATATTTTAAAATACCTAGGAATAAGTTAACAAGTGAGTAAAATATGTTCTGTTTTACTTTAAAAGTAGCAATGATAATTTTCGATGGACAGGAAACCATTTTTTACTATTATGAGCTTTTTCTTTTCTCAGGCAAGCAGTGTCATTCTAGCTCAGTGCCTGCAGCATCAATCAGATCAACTGTTTAAATGCATTTGAGTAATTTAATTGCTTTAAGTTTGCTCTCAGCATCTTTTTTGTTTGTTTTTGTTCTCACACCAAGGATCCAGAAAATTGAGGATCTATACATTCTTAAGAAATGCACATTTACACAAACTGCTGGGTTCTGACAGCACCCCAAACTATCCTTATTCTCCCATTTAAAATTTGGGCAAGGGAGAGATCTAAAGAAAACTCATTCCTTAGTCTCATAGAAAACAGAGAGCTTTCAGAGTTAGTATGATTATTAAAATTGTTTATTACCGATAGAAGTGCACTTTGCAAGAAGCTTTAGGTGGTTATGAATTGATAAGAGCAAGAGATTTAATATAGCTGTTATGGTGCTTAAGAACAGATACAAAATTTTTGGTTTAATAAAGAAATACAGTACATTTGCATTAAAAATGTTATTATACTGAATTGTTAAGTAAATATATGTGAAATTCCCATAGTTAGATACCTGTTTTTATCTTTTTAGATGTTCTGCTTTATTTCTTATTTCTTGCTTCTTTGCTATAGTGTCTGATTAGTGCTTAAGTCTCACTAGACTTAGAACTTCGGCTGATGCTAGGCCGCCTCTCTGCATAAAGAATAAGAGTAAGTAACAGGAAGGGAACAAATAAGCTTCATTTGTCTGTGTTCATTGCTCTTCATTAATCCCCTGGGTCACACTCTTAAGTCTCCACAGTTAACTGTGCTGTTTTTCTGGATGTGTGAAAACAAGCATTAATCAAAACTATGCCAAATCATGTCTGGAAATAGGCATTCATATCTGGGTGAAGATAACTAGACAATGGGTGCTATTTAGGTTTAATACCAATGAAAGAAAAACAAGCAAATTTATTCAAGAGCATCAGCAGCAATTCCAGGGAAAATGTTTACTGCTCTAGGCATCAGCAACGTTGAAAACTAATGGTGCCTTGAGTCCAGGGACCATATCAACTAAGAGGCATTAAAATTTCAAGCAGTCAGCCCTAGACATGCTTGGAAGAACTCAGGACCTTTCCTCAACAGAATAAAATGTGGACAGTATAAATGACTTTTAAAAATCAACTTAAATGCTCTGGTCTGTTTAATAAGTACTAACAAATAATCTTGTAAGTATATATCAGAATTGTTATTTCTTCTGCATTTTTATTCAATTTAATCAGAAAGACAAGAACTGATAAAGAACTAATCAATAGGGCAATGACTCTCCTTTGAAATACACGAATAAGATTTACTTAACTTATTTGTCAATGGGTGTTTCCTAAGTAAAGTCTATATTTCTCAACTTATAAGGAACAATACCCAGTAGCTTGAAAATAAACTTGAACTATGTTTATTCATCAAATTGCCTAACCCAAGGATACAGAGTCCTTATATTGGAGAAAAGAAAGAGTATAGTCATAACATGGTGTATTTGCTCAATGTTTATTTACAAATCATATTTGCAAATTAACCTTCTGTTATTTTTTGAGATACTTATCTACCTTTTTAAAACAATCAAGACTTTCAGATATTCCATGCTCATGGACTAGAAGAATTAATATTACAATGTCTATACTAACCAGAACCATTTACAGATTCAGTAAAATCCATATCAAAACAGCAATGACATTCTTCAAAGAAACAGTAAAAAAATTCTAAAATTCGTTTGGAACCCCCAAAGACCTGAAATTGCTGAATCGATCATTAATAAGAACAAAACTAGAGATATGGCACTACCAGATTTCAAGTTATACTATAAAGCTATAGTGACCAAAACAGCATGGTACTAGCATAAAAAACTACCTATACCAATGGAATAGAATAGAGAGCCCAGAAATAAATCCATACCTTTCAGCCAATTGATTTTCAACAAAGACACAGAGAACATAGAGAAAAGACTATCTCTTTAGTAAAAAGTACTGGAAAAATTGAATATCCAGAAGCAGAAGAATGAAAATAGATCCCCATTTTCAATATACAAAATCAATTCAAAATGGATTAAAGACTGGAAGGTATAAGACTACTATAAGAAACCATTGACAAAATGTTGCAGGACATTGGTCTGGAGAAAAATTGAGGGGGGGTTAAGCCTTAAAAGTATAGACAACGAAAGCAAAAATAAATAAATAGCATTTCATCAAGTTAAAAGATCTTCACAGCAAAGGTAACAATCAACAAGGTGAAGAGACAACCCACAAAATGGGAGAAAACATTTAAAAACTGTCTGTCTGACAAAAGATTAATAACTAGGATATATAAGAAACACAAACAAGTCAATAGCAAAAATACAAATAATGTGATGAAAAAATA